TTTTTTATTCTTATACGTATAGGGCTATGTATATATATTATATAATACACAGACGTTGTTGTTGTTTGTTGTTTAGGTTTTTGTGTTCCGTCCTATAACTGTAAAAATTCGAGTATAGAGATTTATCGCACAGTGTGGCCGGACGACCGTGGATTTTATAACCTCCTCCTCCTCCTCCTCCTCATCGTAGTCAAGTACGGTCCGTTTTTATTATCTACCACATTTTGTTCGCTTATGACATATACTCGTCATCGTAGTATTAATATCATAATATGCGATGTACTCACTTGTTTATCGACGACGTTCTCTCGCGTGATTCGGAAATCCCCGGGAGTTATGACCCGGCCACCACCGCCGTCAAGTGCGTTGACACTGCTCAGCGCGCGGTCGCCGCCACAACCAGGGCGGACCGAGTATTCATGATGAAATTAGGCCGATATGACGTCATAGGCCAATGACTTTTCGCCAGGCCAACAAACCGCACACACTAGCTCACGTTTTATATTATAATATATTATATTACAAATGTGCTGTATGTATGTGTGTATGGTGTTCTATTTGCATATTATTTATCAAAACGGATCTGTGTAAAACGTTTGCAAAATCAGTTTTTTTTTCTGTCCCAAATCGTCGATGACGACGATGGCTATTTTTTCACTCTGAAGCGTTCTTGCCTATTATACTCTGGTAATCCGGTGGTTGGGTGGTTTAATATTTAATTTTTACTATTTTGGTTTTAGGTCAATTGTCAATTAAATTGTAAAAAAAAATTAAACTACTTGCTCGTCGTCGTTCCCCACGCAACATAAAAAAAGTTATATACATGTGCATACACATACCTATATATAATAATATATTATGTTATATGAATTTATCATCGCGCTTTGTCCTTCGCATATTTTTTTTTTATGACACAGATATTATCCCCTCGACTAACTAAATATTCGAGTGTCGTTTGACCTGTCATATAAACATTATCATGTTATGCCTGCACATATGTACGCAAACAATGTATTATATGATATACAATTCGCGCAATCTAAATTTTTTAACGCTCTAGTTTCGCCGCGATTTTTGAACACGCACGCAGTTTATACGCGTGCAAATATCATAAAACAATATTATCGTATGTACCTTATATACACAGTGATAAATGTGAGGTTGCATGGTATATACGTGTGTCACCGAGTTCAATGATCGAATATCGCATTTATCGCACCTATAAGTAGTACTCGAGTTATAATGCCCATAAAGTGGCGTAGTGTAAAGTGTGCGGCCGAACAAACTGCTGGCAAAACAGGAAATGTTAAGGTATACACAGAATAATATATTAATTTAAGTATATATCATCATATATTATATTATATGGGTTTTTAGGGGCTCGCGTCATTCTTTCAATATTAATATGCACCAAAGTCTTTATATCCTAATAATATAGTGCAGCCGAATTGGAATTTTTGAAAAAATGTATTGTGTCGTGGGGTGGTGGTCATCGCAATAACAATATAACCCATAGCGAGATAAATATGCAAAGCCGCCCCCTCCCCGTTTTTTTGCGATTAAAACTCGAACAAATATAGTGTTGTTGACTCCGCACTCCTATGGTCGCAGATGCGATCGGGTGGGGAAGCTGTGAAATGGTTACCTATATTATATTTGTATTATAGCGCTCACCGTTATGTACTTTTACTTGTATATGTAGGTATACACACACGAATATATATATATATATATATAATCATAATAATAATATTGTGCACCGCCACCACCAGCTCTCTTCTCCCCTCCTCTAGTACATAATATTATAATATACCGCAACCGCGGTCGCACTGCATCTTCGGTGCGTCATATAACGGGCCCCGTCGACTTGCAGGTATACATAATACATATATATATATATAAGGCAGTCAGGTAGATTCTATTATATATATATATATATATATATATATATATACATAGGTACGTGTGCGTGCAGTTTTTTGCACCCGCGCCCGGTGGGAGTCATTCCTCCCGCCGCCGCGTTGTTTTCTAGACGTTATTATAACAGAGCTGAGCCGCGTAATATAATAATAAAAATAATAATAAAAATATATATTTTTACCGTGGTGGTGGTGGCGGCGGCAGCGACGAGTTTAACGCACCGCAATTGGGTCATCGTCGCCGCCGCCGCCGACCGGCAGAACCGTCGTGCAAGCCAACCGGAGTAGTGTGGCGCGTATATTACAATATTGTAGACGCGCCTGCAGTCGCGAGCTGTTAGCCTTAGTGTCTGTGTGTGTTGAAGTGTGTGCGAAAAAGCATTTTTTTCCTTTTCGTCACGATAATATGTATTAATATATGAATTATACAGCTGATAATAATATACGATATCAAGGCGAAAACTGTCAAAAAAAAATTGTTTGCTCATATAACTTTATAAATAGTGAAAAAAAAATCTGCCTGATCGGTTTCGCTCTATTATTGGTTAAAGATAATAATATTATAACATACTCGCACGTCGTAATCTATAATATTATACGCTCGCCGAAATGCCGCCAATTTGTACGGAAAAAACGTCGTCTGCGTGCTGGCGGTGCGCCGGCGATTCCGGCGCCGAGTCCAGCGCCGCGGACACCGACGATTCCGACTGTAGCACGACCAGTTCGTCCAATAACTATACGTCGTCCACCGATCGGTTACAGGGCTTTTTCCGCCGGAGTATCCAGCAGAAGATCCAGTACCGGCCATGCACCAAGAATCAACAGTGCAACATCTTGCGGATCAACAGGAACAGGTGTCAATACTGCCGGCTCCGCAAGTGCATCAGCGTCGGCATGAGTCGAGACGGTGAGCATAGTTTTATTTTTTTTTATCATAACAATAGTTTAAATATCGTACCTAGTTTAATATACCATTTTGTCGTTATTACTTACCTATTACAATGCCATGCACGATATCCTATTATATTAATATAACTTAAAAAATTACCATATACACATACGAAAACCCGTCTGCCCCGACTATATACATATTATACGATATAACTAACCTAACCTTCGGCTATTTAAATACACTTATAAACAGTGCGGCTAGCTGCAGGAATATAATAATGTGTGGCACCTTTATATAGTTTTCCATGACCTATACCTGACAGCGACCGAGTTGCGATTAATTCGTCAAACGCGATTTTTAACCGTCACCGTGTCACCGTGGTGTATCTCAAATTACCCATTATTGATTAAATCACATTATTTGTTTGCTATCGTCGTAATACTGCAGACAATAATGGAATAATAATTATTATTTTATATTATTTCATGTGCAATTATGTTATTATGATATTATGTGCACACATTTTTTTGCTACGTCTTATTTTCGACAATTTCGGCACACTCAACGATGTCATATTTCGGTTTTACAGAATAACGTCATATACCTATAGTGTCCTATATATTAATATATTATTATATATGTATGCCATATAACACGCGCATACATATTATATATGTGTACAATACATATTCATATATATATATATATATATATGTGTGTGTGACTGGCCTATCTACTGTCCAATGTGTTTAGCACAATATAATATGTGTGTGTGTGTAATCGGTCAATGACGTAACGCCGCCGCCGCTGAGTGGTTTATTATGCGCATACACAAAGAACGGTCGCAATGACCTGTTTTTTAGCAGTTCGTTCAACTCTCGATGTCGATGGCCGCCCCGATTGCTCTCGCCAGCAACTGCACAACAACCGCCGCCGTCGATACACCGTTCTCTAGGCCGCTTCGTCTATTAGATAACAATATATTTTTTGCAAAACAATACCGGACAATTGTTAAAATATTATGTCGATATAAATTTTAATGTGGTTTTCGATTGAAAAACGTCCGAAGCCCCATCATGACAAATATTATATTATAATAATATGTAATTCGGTTTTTATGGAAGAATTTACAGAATAAAATAAAATGATTTCGTATTGACGTTTGACATTTTTCTCTTTCGGTGACTGATAAAATAAAAAATATATAATACCGCTTGTGCGCAAACAATTATTATTATTATAATAATAATAGGTAATAATAATATTAATATTGTCACGGTCGTTTCGCAACGAACGGTAGCGACCTCTAGTGGCCCGGCGGCGCAACAGTGGTTGTCACGGCCGGGCCGCCAGATGGCAGTGCCTGTGTGCTCGACCGACGACAAAAAAAAATTCGCGATACGATCTGTGGATCTGCGGAGGCGTGCAACCCCGGGTATTCATAAAATACGACGACAGCTGCAAAAGCGGCAGACGACCGTCGACCAACTGCAACTCTCCTAACGATTTATAACTCATGTATTACTGTAACCGACGTTATAATAATTTACAATATCGGTATTATTATGCCGAGTTACCGACCTTGTGCGCGCGCGCGCCTACAACAAGTGTACTCCGTGCGCTATCGGCCGACCTCGGAGCAATGATATATTATAGCGAGATAAACGCGTCGGTTTTTTTTTTCACTGCGCGCGCGTTTTGAGACGGCCTTTGTGCGCGACAGCTACATTAACAATATAATAATAATAATAATAACGTCGACACAGAAACGACACTGACCGAAAACGCCGTTCCTGCTGGACACTGCATAATATTAGTGTGTGTGGCCTCCACCGCACACCGTGTGTTATAATAATGATAATTATTATAACAATATCGCTATGAATAATGATAAATACTACCGCTGCATCGTTGTGTGTGCACAAAACGGCCGCGACCCAAATGCGTCTTGTCGGCGATTCGCGTCGGTCCGACCGAGAAAGGTGCCCGACGACATGGGGGGGGGGTGAGTGCCTTTGAGCGTGCCGCACGCGCCATGCCCAAGTTCAAGGGTACGCGATCGACCGAAGCGTGTATTTCACCGGGCGGCGGCGTTGTCGTCGTCGTCGTCGTCGTCGTCGTCGTCGTTTGTTGAGCGAGTGGGTGGGGGGAGCCGTGCCATCTCGTACCCGCCGCTGCCGCCGCCGACCCTACTCTTCTCGACGTGTACCATTGCCGCCGCCGCCGGGTCCCCACCAACGGGCGCCGCCGAATCGAACGCAGTGGCGGACGTTGGCGTGTGGCCGTGAAACGGGCTCATTGTGATCGTGAACCGCGTACGCTCGTCCGGTCTCGTCCGGGAAATGTCGTCCGTCGTACGCCGAAACTTGGTCGCATCGCGCACCGGCAGTGTTGTTACCGCGTGATATTTTACGTAGGTACGTGCGAATTTTTTCCGAACGTCGTCGCCGATCGCTGTTTTTGGATATCTCTCGTCTACGACAATGACAATAATTTTTTGCTACCGTCGTCTGCAAACTCGGGATAATTGCGATTTTTCGTAGTGCCATTTCTGTTTGTTCGCCGTTCGAGTAACATTTAATAACAAATCGTGTGTGTTCGTGGTTTTTTCACGTCTGTTTATTTATTATTATTATTATCGACGTCGATATAATTATTATTTAAAACTATACCAAAATGAGTAAAAAATCCATCCTAAAGGACATACTCTGCAACGGAGTCGTACGTTACTCCAACGCCCGTACGTATTTATTAATTATTTGGATTATTTCTCTTCTCGCTGCGTCCTTTTGCTGTACGGCCGTGCGTCGTTTCGGTCTCGAAACACGCGAATTTCGCGGTATCATAATAATATTATGCCAAAGATGCGCACTCTTGTGTGTATTTGTTTTTTTGGGGCCACGGCGCGCTTTCGTCGTCCTCGTCTTTGAGCGCGCACGCCGCAGAACCGCGCGTCGGCGGTTCCCTCTCCGCGCTCAGCGTTATAGTTGCGCGGGCGCGCGCGCGTTCGTGCGTGTTGTCGTACGCTTACTTTCTAGTCGACCTCGGTAAAAGTGAAATTGTGTACCAATTTCTCTCTCATTCGCGCCCCCACGAACGACGGCGACTACGTCGACCCAAATCACATCTCGGGAGAGCCGCGTGGAAAAAAAATAATAGAAAAAACCGACACGAATAATATTCACAATAATATGATATATATTATTATTATTATTGTTTGACTTTCACCGTCGCGATTTTTCTCCTCTTGTTGGTTTTCGTCAACGCGCTCCCACAGTCCCACACAAACATACTCACGCATACATCACGCGTTTCGACCGCAGTCCGGATCGATTCGCTCGGTTCGTTTCAAGGGCATTACGAGTCAAGGGCAAATATCTACCCCCCCGCGGGTGGTATGTCTGAATATGCGCGCGCGCCCCCGTGTGTGTGTTGTTTGTGAGTGTGTGTGATTGCCGCCGCCTCGAAAGGGACAGTGCGCAGGATATTTGCCCGGCACCTGCTGCTACCGCTACCGCCGCCGCCGCCGCCGCCGCCACCGTTGTTCGTTTCGTGTGTGCTGCGCCGACGGCGTCCGTAGCTGAGAGCAGTCGCAGTTTAACATCCGCGCGCGTTCACGACGGTCGCATCATCATGTTGGCCAAATGCGATTCCACGACAAAACGTACGGACCACTGACCTGGTTTTTTTTTCTTCCCTTCGGCCTCACTAAATTACTGATACACATTACTTATTATTACATACCGACTAAAAAAAAATAAATTTAAAATCTGTTTTTGAGCGTCCGGTTTTGTTAAATATTTTTTTTTCTAAACGGACCGTGTTTTTATCTTTTACAGCTGTACGATTCGGCCGTGTGCCCAAACGGGAAAAGGCTCGTATAATGGCCGCCATGCAGCACAGCAGTAACTCCAAAAGCCAGGAGAAGGCCGCCGTGGCGGAGCTTGAAGACGACCAGAGACTCGTCGCCAGCGTGGTCAGGGCACATCTAGAGACTTGCGACTTCACGTCGGACAAGGTCGCGCCCACGTTAGCCCGTGCCCGCGAACAGCCAAATTACACCTTGTGCCATCCGACACTGGTGAGTTCAACACACAATCATTATTAATACCTACAATAGTTTTCGCCCTTAAAATATAGTGGTGCAACGTTATAAAAATTAGATTTTACTTGTGCTTATTTTGTTACGTTATTCGTGCGTGTACCTATATAATCATATCGTCCAGGAAGAACCTTGACGACGTGTTTTGTGCGTTAATCAACAAGGTCTGCTGGTATGCAAATATTTGTGTACACGGCTCGGTGTTTACAAAACTATACATTTTATAATACTATATTATTATTGTGCATACGTGCAAACGTATATTGCATCGCTTCGCGGTGCGCTGTTTTGGATCCATTTCATTCGGATTTTAAATTTTTTGCTTTTACTGAGCGCATTAGTTATTCTTGGAAATTTCGTTGTTCTTTGCTGTTTTCTCGCAGCCGCCGCGGGTAATACGGCACAGCGAAGTAGTACCAATTTCTCCGCGACTCGTCCTTGGCCTTGTTGCCACCGAATTTCCTAAACGACTTTATAATAATTATTATTTTATTACCTGCTACGGCGCGGGTGACGCACGCCTCTCACCGCCCCTCCGCCAAAACGTTTTCCCGTAAACGAGCGTCGCGGCGATCGGTAGCGATCGCCGTAGTTCAAACGCCGTTGTGTTCTGCTCGAGCGCGATGGTGCAACCCGTTTAAAACCCGATACGTCTCTCTTATTATCGTCTTGTCCATATTATGAATTGTCATTTTTAATAACGTTGTCGCCCTTGACGCGTCGCCTCCACTATCAAGGCCGCGATAAATTAAATAATAACAATTAATTGTCGCACCTTTACTCATCCAACACCGTTTTTTTTGTCTCTTCCATGTGCAGGCTTGCCCGTTGAACCCGAGTCCACGACCCGTCACCGGACAACAAGAACTATTGAACGACTTTTCGAAGCGATTCTCGCCGGCTATACGCGGCGTGGTCGAGTTCGCCAAGCGCATACCTGGTTTCGGGCTACTCGCCCAAGACGACCAGGTGACCTTGCTCAAAGCCGGTGTTTTCGAGGTGCTACTTGTTCGCTTGGCCTGCATGTTCGACTCTGAGGTAAGTGTCTAAGTAATTGTGTACCAACGAGTATCGATACTTATATACCTATATACACGTATAATGCATATCTGCGTGTCATGGTTTTTTCGACGTGTATTGACCTCGATTTTTCCTCTTTTTGTTTCGCGCAGTGTAACAGCATGGTGACGCTCAACGGTCAAGTGTTGCGTAGAGAATCAGTTTGCGCATACTCCAACGCTAGATTCCTCACTGATTCCATGTTCGAGTTTGCCGAGAGGTTGAACGCAATGCGACTAAACGATTCGGAAATTGGTCTATTCAACGCCGTCATCGTGATCGCTGCCGGTAAGTGTCGATTTACTAGATTATTAATTATTATTCATATTTATTTTATCTAAGCACTAAAATAACGAATCGTAAAATTACTTTTATATTTTACATACATTTTAATATTTACGGAGAGCAAAGTTTTAAAACGTTCGGTATTATTTTTATTTTTCAAAAACAGATCGCCCAGGCTTGCGCAATGTCGAATTCATCGAACGCATGCACAAACAGTTAAAATGCGCGTTGCAGTCGGTGCTCATGCAAAACCATCCGGACCGTCCTAGCTTGTGCCAAGAACTGTTGAAGAAAATCCCGGACTTGAGGACGCTCAACACGTTGCACTCAGAGAAACTGCTGGCGTTCAAGATGACCGAACAGCAAAACCAACTGGACCAACAGCAACAACATCAGCAGCAACAGCACCAGGACACCACCACCACGACCAGCATTGCATCCGCCGCCGTTCAACATCATCAGAACATTGGTGGCATGTGGAGCCTGATGATGAACGGCACCGACGATTTTAACCGCAAGAGCCCGGAGGAGGCAGGCTCGTCGTCATGGTCGGATGAGACCACTTCCGTGGAAGACATGAAGAGTTTGGCCATGTTGGACGAGGTCAAGAGCCCGCTGGGATCGGTGTCCAGCACCGAGTCTGTGTGCTCGGACGAATACCATCATGGACCAAGCAAACACGCGGCGAGTGCCCCTCTGTTGGCGGCCTCGCTGGCTGGGGCCGTGTGCCCGATCAGGCGGCATGCGGCCGCGCCGTCGGACGAACTACATCACCAGGTGATCGTCCGGCCGATGTCGTGCCGCCGGTACCAGCGGAAGCAGGACTCGCCCACTGACTCTGGAATCGAGTCGGGCACGGAGAAGCTGGACAGACCGATGCCGCACAGCGCCCCCACTTCAGTGTGCTCCAGCCCGCGATCCACCGTTGAAGACGTCGTCATGTCAGCCGACTCGCACCATCCGGCGGCCATTGAGGACATGCCGGTGCTGAAGCGCGTGCTCCAGGCACCGCCGCTTTACGATACCAATTCGCTGATGGACGAGGCTTACAAGCCGCACAAAAAGTTCCGGGCTCTACGCAGCGCCAAAGACTCTGCCGAAGCTGAGGCTGTCCGACCGTCGGTGGCGACTACCGTCCACAACAACAGCACCCTCCTCAACCACCTCCAACAAAGCCACCACCACAATTCGCCGCAACTGCACCATCACCTCACGTCGTCGTCGTTGTCGAGCACTCACTCGACGCTGGCCAAGTCGCTGCGCGAGACTCCAAAGATGACCGCGGAACAGATCAAATGCACCGAAGACATTCATAACTTTATAATGCGCGAGGATACGGCGTGCAGTGGTTACCAACAACAACTAACGCAACAGCACCACCACCACCACCACAACAACAACCACCACCTACACCAACAACAACAACAACCTCCGACCAGATGGCAACACACGCCTGTCATTACATCTGCCTTGGCCCAGAACAGTTGCAGATTGTCACCGACGCCGCCCACCAGCAGGTATGCGTCGTCGACCGTGAGCAGTGGTGGCGTTTTGGCGCGCGTCCTGTCGCCGTCGTCTTCGTCGTGTGCGTCTCCGCCGCCGTCGGCGCTTTCAATGGTCATGCGCCGCACGCCGTCGCCGAACGTTGTCAACCTCCAGGTGGGCATTACCAACGCAGCCGCAGCCGCGGCCGAGGCGGCGGCCGCTCACCAGCAGCCGCTCAACCTGTCCAAAAAGCTGTCCCCGTCGCCGACGTCCGCCGTCGGCAGTGGTACCACCACGCCACCATCTCCTGCTCCCGCTCAGGTGGCCATGGAAGCGTAATCCACCCTCACCCCGCCCACCACACTCCCCGTTGCCGTACGTAACCGCATCGACTCGATCTCACGAGAGTCAATCTCTAGACCAAAACACGAAAAAAATCAACAATTGGAAACAAATGGGGTTTCTATACGCAAACCAAAACAGGTGCGGTGATCGTTTTCCTATTTTAATAATTTTTTTTTGTTTTAATTTTAATTTTTTTTTTTTTTTTGTGGCAATACATACAACTGTGTACATATTACTATAAAATATTAGGCCTTACGAGTTTAAGTTTAATTA